CACTTGGTTTGGCTGATGTGCGCCAACCATTCATGTATTTTATTTGTTCATTATTTTTAATTAAGAATCGATACTTGCCGTCAAGAATCGATGCAGTAGATCACAAAAATTAGAATCGCGATGCATCGTCATGACGATTATTTTGCACACCCCTAGTATGAATGCAGTTCACACAGGAGATAACATACATGTCGCATATATTTGGAAATGTGAACGGCAATGCAAAAAAATTTAATTTCATTAAAAAAAACGGAATTGAGCATTAAAGCCTGCAGTGTGAACGTAGCCTAATAGTTAAAGATCCAAAGTTTGCAGTAAAATGTCCTGGTTGAAAATAGTTGCTGTTAAAAAACACCGCTAACCAACTTGTCTTGCTTGTGCCTCTCTTCTTTTTCTTGCATGTTAAAAAGCAGAGATGCTAGAGTCGGGGATATCATCAAGCAGCCATGTTTACCAAACTCTAACATTGCCCATAATGATTGATGGAGGAGATGAATTCATCTCTTCTCGATCTTAACTCATGTTTGTCTTTATGACATGGTTCAAGTATTATTTTATCTTTTAAAATGTTTATCCTGGTTGTTAAAAAAAAAAATTAAAATAAGAGACTAGAATGGACTGTAGCTCTGTACTCACCGTTTGACCAGGATGCGGATGGGGTCGGTCATGAACTTGTTGGTCATTTCCAGGATTTCATGCGGTAGTGTGGCGCTGATGAGAACCACTTGCGTTGCGGGAGGAAGGTACCGATAAACATCGTAGATCTGTTCCTTGAAACCTGAGCAGGACAGAGAGAGAGAGAGACGTCAGAGGACACATCTGAGGAGCCTCACCCGTCCTGGGCTCCCCCCTATGTGGCCTCAGTCCCACCTTTGTTCAGCATCTCATCGGCTTCATCCAGAACCAGCATCTTGATGGCTCTGGTCCTCAGACTACGACGCCGGATCATGTCTGTAAGAGAAGAACAGATCAAATCAGAGTCGTCCCAGATGACATCACAAGGAGACTAAACCAGCTGTTGCTGAAACAGTGAAAACATCCTTAGAGCAAAAGTTCTGTGGATGATTTGTCTGGCCGTCTACAAGCGCTTTTCCAACAAAGTAACAGATTTAACTGGTTCTGTAACAGAACCGGTTCACTTTGCTTAACATGATCCAGTCATTGTTTGATCCTCTTGTTTTAGAAATTAAGTTTGTGCAGAGAAGCTCCACAGCTAATCTCTTATCAGAACCAGTTGCTAGAAAACTGGACCTTAACAGATAGTGTCAGCTCTACTAGAGGTACGTTAAAGGACCGACAGATTTGAGTCTAAAATGAAGGTTCTTGATCCAACAAGAAATAATGAGCTGTTAGCACAACTTTGACCCAGAGAATCAAGGTGTTCAGAGACATATTCTGATGTTCTGATCCGACGACATCTCATCCTGCATAAGTGCTATTTTATGAAGAATAAGTTTTCCTTTGTTTCTTTTAAGAATGGCTGCTGTTCGGTATGACTCCACTTCAGCGTTCACCCTGGTACCAGGAGCCAGAACCAGGTCTCTCTCAGGTCTAGCTGAACATTTCAAACTGATGCAGGGACAGCTAAAACTCCACCTTGACGCTGCCCTCGCCTTTCCCCATTTATGTGTGGTCGTGGACGTTGCTATGGAAAAGCAGACTCACCAAAGACTCGTCCAGGGGTGCCAGACACCACGTGCTGCCCGTAGTCCAGTTTACGGATATCCTCCCCCACGTTGGTGCCCCCTATGCAGGAGTGACACTGAACGTTCATGTAGTCTCCCAAAGCCAGCAGCACCTGCACCGGACAGAGAGGCAACTAATCAGAACCAGACACCCACATGGTCCCGGTGGGATGGAGGAGGGTGAAGAGCTACCTTCTGAATCTGTCCCGCCAGCTCTCGGGTCGGAGCGAGAATCAAAGCCTGGGTCTCTCTCACCTGCAGAAAAACAAAACAGTCCTGGGTAATGAGCTGCTAACCAGGGCAGCAGGTTGGAAAACATTTTGCAGAAGGACTGGATCCCCGAACAGATTCTACACCTGAAGGATCTGCAGCTTAACCCACCTGGATGTCCAGGCACTGGAGAACGGAGATACAGAAGGTGGCTGTCTTTCCGGTTCCAGACTGAGACCTGCACAGATCAGAGAGCAGCTGTTAGTCGCTGTGATGTCAGGCGGCGACGATCTGAGGCGAGCTTCTATAGGCTGCTTACTGAGCGATGACGTCGCGGCCCTTGATGATCTGCTTGATTGCTCTCTGCTGGATGGCCGACGGCTTCTCAAAGCCTGGAACACAAAACTTCATCAGAACCTCAAACTGATCAGAGAGCAGAGACAGGTGACCCTGAATCCATCATTACACTCCAGAGATATTTCAACAGCGCCTCAGCTTCTGGCTCGTTTGGAACATATTAGAGAAAGACAATTGAATAATAGAAGGAGAAGCTTTTTGTTTTAATGCACTTTGTGGAGCAAAGTTTGAACATTGCTCTGAGAGCAAACAGAACCAGAACCGAGTATCTCTCTGCACTGATTATTGGATTAGACTAAAAACAAATCTAGATCAGTTAGCAAGAGGCAAACAGACTGACGTCAGCCCGACATACCCTGTCTGTTAATGACAGTCTTACTTCTTTGTAAAATGGAAT